AAACAGGAAGTATCTAAATAGAGATGACAAATTAAAACATACAAACCTGACACAGCGGGGCACAGAGGGAAACTAGGACAAACAACAACAGACTATACAAACATGCCAAACAAGAATAAACAATGAACATTAAAGATTAACAAAGGCTCTTTAATTATTGCACTTGTCACTCAGTTATTTCTCAGAGCTCACGTCTCCTGCCAAGTTCATTGTTATAGCATTGTCAGCTGGGAAACAAAATAATTTCCCATGTAAATACAGTGAAACACATGTATGGTGTTTGTGAGAGCATCGGCTGCACCACAGCAGACGCTCCAGCTGTGGGGAAAAGTTCAAACCACAGTTCACCTGCTGGAGAAATGTTTAATAGATGCATCAGTGGAAAACTTGACAGAAGCTAAACTTCCCCTGTTGAGTTTGCAGCTGAGGTAGACTGATAAAATGTCAGTGCCTCTGTGGCTTTCTTTGATATACTAATATTGTTGATACGGTTCGATTTGCTACGGCAAAGTCTGCGACTAGTGATGTTTTTATTCTCTGATGGGTTAAGCATTTGATTTTCTTCTGCAAATCCCCGTCCTTTCTATTTGCACCTTTGTCAGATTGAAGTCAATGCTTTCATCTCTTTGTCATGTTTCTCTGTGAACACTGTGTATTTAGCGAATAGCTCTTAGCCAACAATCAACCACAATAATAAAAGCACCGGCAGATGAAGTGAATACTTCTGATCATCTTTTGAAGGACATAGTTCTGCGGGGGAACCCCTAACATTCATGTGGATGGTAGTTTAACAGGCACTGCCTACCTCAGCAATGCAGCCAAACAGCACACCTTTATGGGGCATTCCCCAGTCACAGGAGAGTGCACCCTACCAGGAAAACAAAGGCTAAAATCCAAGGATGTCATCTCATCTATCCAGCCTAACCACTGTATACTCTGTATATCTTCTAATGTGCATTTTAGGACATGTTACCAACTTTTAGATCATACTGTCAGGGAGCTGGGTCCGTGACTCAGCATTTACAGTTAGGTTGTATTTTTGATTTCTTATGTTATATAGAAAGAATTTGAAGTTCTGGTGTTATTATTAGTTAGGGACTAGTTGAGTTTTAGTTTAGTCAGTGTTACCATCCATGCTCCCTGGTTTATTTGTCATGTTTCCTGTCCAGTCCGTCATGTGTTTCATGTGTGTGTGTGTCCATGTTGTCAAGCTTGTGTGTCATGTCTACGTTCTATTATGTTTCCTGTTATATTTTGAAAGTCTTGTGTTCCCATGGTCAGTGTGTTTAGGTCAGGTTTTGTTATTTGGGTTACATGTGCTGGAAGACTGAGTCAGCTGAGTGCCAGAGTTTCTTCTCAATCAAATACAATTCAAAAACGCATTAAAGAGCTCTGTCTGTGAAAAAGCATTTTTAAAGCAAACTATTCTGCATGCTAGGTGAAAAAAATGTGACAATTAATGTGACAGAAAATCCATTTTAATGTGACGGGGAATTTACCACTTAGACAGTCTGACCATTAGGGATTTTACAGGCTGAGGAAAAAAGGGGGAAAATACATAGTTTCAAGTTAATGCCAAAATACGCTTTATCAGAAATGTCATACAAATACCACAAACTAAAGCACTTCCTCTGGGGTGAGTAAAGACCTTGAATGAGGCTTACCAGGGCAACAGGGACCATAGAAGGGGGATTTGGCACATGCGCACAACACACACTAAAACCGAGCACCAAAGTACTGCATAATAAAGGTCAAGCTATTACTGGTCAACAGCAGGCAGTCCTGTTCAGCGAAGAGGAAAAATGAAAATGTGTAAAATTACTGTCAGCTGGATTTAGTTAATGTCAGCTTGGCTTAATATTCATGATACTCAACTATTATGATGAAAGCAACAAAAACACTTGGACTTCAACCAATATACAAGCTTGTTGGGGCCCTAACAAAACATCTGCAGGGGGCCTCCAGCATTGGTTGGTCCAACCATTGTTTAATGTAGAGGCTAAGCCTATGCTTGTAGCCACTGAGGTGTTTAGTGGCCAGTTTGACGCGATGCCACTGTTATGAATGAAAACCCAATAACTCCAGTGTTGCTTATCCTGTCAGCTTAAGCATGCATTGCTCACCATTGATTGCATTTGCTGTTCCACAGTTCACCTTATTATCCAACATTATCCAACATAAATCACAACAGCACAGCGGTCACAAACTGTTTGGTCCCTCCAAACAACAAGAGAATAGAATAGAATAGCTTTTTATTGTCACTGTTACAAGAACAATGAAAGGCAGTTTGGCATTTCTCCACGTGTGTGAAGTACACAATAGCGTAAGTATTTACACAATAACAGACAAATTTACATTTACACAAGAAGATATGTACAAGTTATACATACACCTGCAAACATACACGCAAATACACAAATATATATATATATGTGTGTGTATATATACATATATGCATCCGTACATGCACACACACACATATTTCCACATACACGCTTACATCTATATACATACACATACATGCCATCTAAGTAGCAGGTGCATTGAGAGGTGCAGTGTGATCAGTGAGTGTCCAGGGTGCGAGAGGTCTTTGATGATGATGCTGGCTTTCTGCTGAAGTCTGCCAGTATAGATGTCTCTGAGGGGGGTTAGTGAGGTGCCGATTGCCCGCTCTGCTGCCCTCATCACCCGCTGCAGTTTCCTCTTGTCCTCCACGGTGCAGCAGTTGAACCAGAGTATGCAGCAGTAAGTCAGAAGCCTCTCGATGGTGGAGCGGTAGAAGTTTACTAGCAGTCTTTGGGGTAATTGGGCCTGACGTAGTTTCCTGAGGAAGTACAGCCTTTGTTGTGCTTTCCCTACCTGGTGGGAGATGTTTGTGGACCAGGTAAGGTCGGCCGAGATGTGGACTCCGAGGAACTTAAAGCTTTCTACCCTTTCTACCTCCTCCCCATCAATGTAGAGGGTAGAGTGCTCAGATCGCTTTGTTCTTCTGCAGTCGATTGCATCTCCTTGGTCTTGGCTGTGTTCAGATGCAGGTTGTTGTCGTCACACCATTGCTTCAGATGCTGAACCTGCTCTCTGTAGGCTGAATCATCGTTGTTGTCGATTAGTCCTATGATGGTGGTGTCATCAGCAAATTTTATAATGGTGTTACTGGTGTGCATTGGTGAACAGTCATGGGTGAAAAGTGAGTATAATTACACCCTAATTAAATCGAATTTAATCTAATTAAATCACCCTAATTAAATCCTTAAATACAACCTTTACAAACACAAAAAGCAAAACTTAGCGACACACATAAGGTAATAAACAGACCATGTATAAAACACACATATACAAATATATTAAAAGTGTTGTTAGTCTGTCTTAGTTCCAGCTGTGTTCCCACCTATTGCCCATCCTCTCGTTATCCTGTGTGTATTTTAGTCCTCAGTCTCTTTCCCTGGACTCTGTAGTTTCCATGTTATCTAGTTTCCAGTACCCAGTTTCTTCCTTGTTAGAGTTTTTATTTTATTTTATTTTTATTTAGTTTGAGTTTCCAAGTTGAGCAATAAAGCTGGCTTCTTAAGTTCATTCCCTTGTCTCAGAGGCCATATCTGACACCAAGTGCCACTAACCCATCCTCTCTTACCTGGCAGTCCTCAGGTCTATTGCTTGCTTGCCTGCCTTGTCTGGTGGAAAACCTCTGACATGAGAAACACAGAGAATCCACAAAATAAACTTGGCATACAATGACAAGCTGTGTAGATCCAAGGAGAAGCAGCAATGGCCACATTAAAAAAACAAAGCTGTTATTGTGCAAATTTCAAGTAGAACCAGACAAAACTAACTCTGTGTAATGAAGCAACCTGTGAAACCAGAGTGAGGAAAGAGTAACAAAGCAACACCAGCCAAAGAAAGACAAAATAAAAATGAAATACTTCTACTTCTTCTTCTACTTCTACACTACTGTGCTTAAAATGTCATGGGTGCAACCACAAGCCAGCCATAGTATGTCGGTGAACGCACTTGTTACAACACCTCAGGCACTTGTGACAGACAGAGACTTAAATAAATAAACAAATAACTTTATCACAGCTGAAGGGCTGCCTGTCTGCTTCAGCTGGGAAAAGGCCAGTGTTGTGCTTTTTTAACCTTTTTTTTAGTCTTTGTTTATATAGGTAAACAGACTTTAGGCAACATGATTTATAGTTACATATAAAATAATGACCTACTGTACATATTTTATCTATATTATAATAAATCCAGTTGATTTTGACTGTTTGCAGTAACTTTATAGAATTATAATATTTTCTTTGCTGCGTTTTTTTTGCCCGACCTCTCCAAAAACCCCAGACATTTTAAATGTCAATGAGACATTTAACCTAGAAAAATAAAGATATATAAAAGTCACTTGCCAAAAAGTGACTGCAGTATTTACTTTGTGATGGGAATATTTTTTCTGGCTGATCACAGGGAACACACCAGCTCTGGGACAAGCAAATTAGGCGAATGAGTGAGGGAGGGGGAAACCTACCTGATTATAGCCCAGAGAAATGCTTCTCAGTAACTCACAGGTGAGCAAGCTCCAGCAAACAGTGAGGTGAACAAAATGGACATGTGACCTGATCGACTATGGTAAGTTAAAAAAAATTCTAAACAAAAACTAAAGAAGTCTTTCAAACATCCAGTAACTATAGATTTGATAGATTTGTTTTTGGTGACCATCTTTATTACCACTAAAGTCACATGGTGTGGGTAAAGGTTGAAGAGAGCTATTAATACTCAGCTGCAGCACAGATGAGCATTAATAAAGGAGCATTAAAATTCAGCTGTCGTACACTGACATGTCTTCCACTTTATATTGTTAATTGACGCCGAGCCTGAGCTCCTATCTGTTTGTTTGCATCTCTGCACTGTGTGTATTTCAGTGCGTGTGAGTGTATGCTGGCCAGAGGTGACAGTGTGTTTCCTGTGAACTGACAGGGAGTTCGTCATCTCTCTTTGTAAATTTGTCACTTCTCTTCGTAAGCCGCATGAACTCAGCTCTGTCTGGAGAACAGTACAAAGGCGGGTGAGTAAACCCAACATTTTTGGCTCTTTGATGAGGTACTTGACAGGTCGTCATTTTGAGTTATGGCCAGCTGCCCTCCTGTTTTCCGAGCAGCCGCATTGCTCCTGATTCTCTGAAGACACATTGCACAGCCCTTCAAATAACACTGTTTGTGTGTGTGTGTGTGTGTGTGTGTGTGTGTGTGGACAAAATTCAAGGTGAGAACTTATGCTTTACGGGCACTTAAAGGATTTTGTTGTAGAGGTGCTAACACAGGTTGTGGTCTGGAAGGACGCAAGGGAAAAGACATAGCGACTGTCCTTGATTGAGTGGGGAATTATTCCGTCCATTAAGATACTAGAAGAGCACCAACTGATGTCAGTGCAATGTTTCTTTTGATTTTGACTTACACACGTCTGTTTTCCCAGCTCGTTAATCATTTCATCTGAACACACTGGAGTACTTCTAACCTTTTGTTTCTTCATCTCTTCTTAGGTTTGTCTACGATGGAGGCTACGGCCAAGTTTGACTTTGAAGCTAAAGCGGAGGATGACCTGAGCTTCAAAAGAGGAGACTGCTTGAAAGTAAGGATCACACACACACACAGACATGCAAACACTTCCTTGGTTTGTTTTTAGCAACATCGCTCTTCACAAAAGTCATAAAAAGTTGTCAGCATAGAAAAACATTCAAATGACCGATTTTATATATATGTTGAGCATAAAGCAGAGTGTTTCCATGTAGATTAGTGTTTTATCACTCTTGTGTAACAATGGTGCACTGTACTATTCTCTGAAGCGCTCTTCAGTTCTCTGTGCAGCCAACCACGACTGCATCCTGCTGCTTAAGTCCGAGTTTCCTTCCTGTTTACATTGCCATTGCAACAAAATCTTTATATCTTCTTGACAGAATCACAAAGTAAAATCATATAGCAGAGGTGAACGCACAGATAACATCAAACTAGCAGACAAACAGCTACAATGACTCGACGCAGCTTTCACACATCGCTTTTGTTAACTCAGCACCTTGCTGAAGCATTAGTTCATGTATATACACCTGCAAACTTAATTTGGGTGCTTTATTGTTATAATACGTTTCAAACTATGTGAACAATGGAAAAACATTTCGATGTTGTTCCGGTGTAAACCTCTCAGAAAAGCTGTTAAAAGTGAGGTCTCCTGTAAAAAGGTGTTGGTTTTTGTAACCCGCTGCAGGGCGAGCCAATTTTATTTGTGCACTGCAGCATTTAGCTCATGTAAATCCACTGCACCCGGCATTAAAACACTTCCATCGGTGTATTGGTGTATAGCAGGTGGATATACACAAAAGGTATACAAGGAAATGGAACAGCAAAAGCCCAGCCTCTAAATAACTCTCACAAACACCCACAGCTATCTCACACAGGCAAACCACAACACACACACACACAGAACTAATCATGAACTGAGAGAAAAAATATTCTCAGTTTCTACAGTGTAGGCCATCTGGTACTTTGGCCTAGAAAATGGCTTAAAAGGACCCATCTATATCTATATCTATATCTATATCTATAAACACTACTATAAAGCTTTACTGGAACACTTGAACATCACAGTAAAACACAAAGTCTCTACATAACCATGCATCTTCAGGGAAACTTAAAGCACGGTTAGTGCACGTGACAGTGACAACCAATACACTTGAAGAAGTAACAAGACAACCCCCAAATAAAATGGTTTTGCAGGCGATTTCTCCGTAGCTCCCCTGAATTTTCCTAGAGTTTTGCCTTTTTATTCCTTTCCTTGTCACTGCTGATAGCACCAGACAACACCTGCAGCACATTCAGGTTGTACATGTAGTCTGACTCTTACAGGAGGGAAGTGTTGCTGTGTCTTCCAGCACAGTCTCAGGAGTGTAGAAGGAGATACAAGGAGACAGGCTGTTACACGAGGACAGTGTTGGACAAGTTACTTGAAAAAAGTAATTAGTTACTAATTACTGATTACTTATCCAAGAGGGTAATCCTGTTACTTTACTGATTATTTATTTTCCAAAGTAATTAGTTACGTTATTACTTAGTTACTTTAAAAAAACATGATACACAACCTGAACATTTTATAAAGCAATAGACCTTTCAGACCAATTCTATTTTTTCTATATAGTCCATGATATAAAATTGAATCAAATAAATGTCTCCTTTTAAAACTTTTTTATTAGTTTAATCTTTAAATTTTATGCACATTGCATCAAGCAATGTGCATAAAAATATGCATATAAATATTCCAGCATATAAGATAAAACAATGTTTTGTGTTTACACTCACTTTTTCCAACAGACTCAATTAAAACACAACAAAAAATAAACAAAATCGAAGATTCAGCCGCACTGAGTCCTGTTGCTCTTAAATCTATTTTCACCTGTTTAGCAGCAGTGGGGCGGGTGGAGGCTGCAGCGATCATGTCAGAGGGGGGATCTGGGGGTTTCTCTGGGAATTTCACATTCCCATGGCGGCTTGCTAGGTACTTGCTCTGATTTGAAGTTAAATTTTTTGCTGTAGAAAAGTTTTTTCCCACACAGAGTGTGCAGCTAATGTTAATGTTTTTGTCACTTTTTACAGAATCAAACTCAAAGTAATGTCAGTACTTCCAAGCTTTAAACGCTGCATGGTCGTTCTCTCTCACACACTCCATATAATCCATTGTTGATCTGTTGCTGCCACAGACGTCACATGCTCGTATGTCATTTTCATGAGACACTCTCACAAACAAAATCATGATTAAGTAATGCATGCAATAGTAATCCCTTACTTTACTCGTTAATAGGATTACAGTTACTGCCCATCTCTGCACAGGAAGATCTGAATAGGGTCACAGAAGGGCATCAGCCCAGCAGCACGACCCTTATGTGCTCCTTTCTGTGAGGCGCAACAGGAGGACAGTAGTGTTTTTTGATACGGGCAACATGGGCGGTTGCCCGGGGTGGCATCGTGGTGGGTGCGGCATCATGGGCGGCACCGATCGGTGTTCTCACTGCCATTTGCGCGGAGTAAGGACGCCCTCTGTTTGCGAGGTGCTGCTGAAGTCAAAGTAAACTTTATTGTCATCTCCGCTATATACAGTAAGTATATAGAGAGACGAGATGACGAGGCTTCAGTTACAGCAGTGCAAGTAAAGAAACAATAAATATAAGAAGACTAAGAAAACAAATATACACTTTAGGACCAGGGGTAAAGGGATCAATAAGAATTTAAAGTTTATAATTTACAGTTTGATGATTTAAAGTCTCACACACAACCTGTCGATAGGGGAGGGGGCCCGGCTGCTTCCAAATAGAGCATATTTCATTCATAATGTTGTAAATCCAAGCCCATTATGTATTCATGATTTGAATCCTGGGTTGTGCGAAATCCCAAAAATAAACCCTAGACAAAGTGAATCTGGGAACTAAGGTGTAGGTCCATTAGGTTATGTTGTGGTGATCCTCGGGTTGGGGGAAGGGTGTTCATACTGGATTGCAAAATTAAAACCAATGGAAGACGGAAAAGAAAAGTTCAAAGCCATCAGGTTTTCAGTTTAGAAAAAAGAGAAAAGAAGAGGAGGAGAAATTAGCAAAAGATACAGGTAAGCAGATGTGTCACTGGATAATGGCAGGTCATCCTGAAACAATCAGAATCATATTAAGAATATTTTATTAATCCCTAAGGAAATTATGTGGGTTACAGTTGCTCCAAGAAGAAATGGTAAAAATAGTAACAGTAACAGACTAAACTCCAAACAACACATTATGTTACAGATTTTACACATTTAAGAAATTAGCACTAATATATCAGATCACTCAATTATAAATATCAAGGATTAACAGAGGTGATTATAAATAAATATGAAGAAAATTGACAAGAATATTATATTAGTAGAAAAGCGCATGTGTGAAAAGGCTGTAACTACTGCAGTGTTTACAGTGTGTTAGATGGAGGTGTTGTACAGGGAGATGGGCACGGGCAGAAATGACTTCCTGTGTCATTCAGTGGTGCCTTTCGGTAATCTCAGTCTCTCACTGAACGTGCTCCCGTGAGTAGTCAGTACGTCATGGAGGGGGTGGGAATTGTTGATTTGTCCTATTCTCATTGTATAATGAATTATAATGCCTGTTTGTTAGCTGTTTGCATACTATGCATACTCTCTCTCTCTCTTCATATATATATATATACCGCCACTGCAGGAGGAACACTGCCAATGAAATTACCTCCAGTGGGACACTCGAGTCCATATTTCTGCCACACTGTTAGGAGCAGAGCCCAGTGTCGTTAAGTGAGAACCTGTGTTCACAGACCAGGAATATGCAACTTGATTGGCATTCACCAGAGATCAGTATAACTGTAGCTTGAGTGTCTGTGATATTATTTTCAGTTGTACTCCAAAATCTGCATTATGTATTGTCAGAGTTTAGTTGGCAGCACACAGGGATCTGCAAATAAGTGGAAAGCTGTGAGTATACACCAGTAAGTGACAACTTTAGCAAAACTGGCCTAATATAGTGGAGAACCCTCTTGTGGCACTGAACTAGAATTGTTCTATCGGCACATGGACACAAAACTGTTGTTCAAGACAGGATAACAGAGGATCCTTTGGGTCCTGTGGGTCGTGGGGTGGGTCCCACTTTGATCACGGTTATTTAGCTGAATCCCCTAGATGCCTGGATCATCTCCAGTTGAGCAGTTTTGGACTGTTGTCATTACTATGGAGGGTGTGGTTGGTTTGCAGCAGTGCATAATCAGGCGATAGGTAAACAAAATCCATTTGAATAAATGTCAACAACCAGTGTTTCCCAGCAGAATCATTAATGTTCACATCACCTGTCAGTGAATTTAAGCTTGTGGCTGATTGGTGGACATGTATGCATGCTGATGCACAGAGATCAGGCATTGCTCCGGGTGGGAGTGGCTGTTTCACCATTTTAACATACTTCATTTTGGCATAATTAGAGTTATTATTTTTTATTTTATACTATGTGGCTTTTGTATGTTTGTCATATTAATTTTATCATTAAGTAAATTAGTTTAAATGTTTAATAATAGATAATATGTGAAAATGTTTCTGATCACTTTTTTTATTTTTCCCCCCAAAATACAAATTGTTCAAATTGTTATGTATTTAATGTACCTAATAAGGTCATAATAAAATAATGCGATATTTAGAATCCCTATATATTATTCCCTATTGCCTGTATGTTGTGAATACTAACAATGGCAGTAAAAAACATAGATTTCAACAGCTTTATGGAGAATTATTATTACTTTGACCTTCAGACCAATCTATTAACCTTAAAGGAAAGGTCAGAGGTCAAATGTGACATAAATCCTTTTATCGTACTTTCTATATGTTGGCAATAAACACCACTTGTAATAATCATAGTGTTTTTAAGTAATAAGACTTTTTGTTTGTTTTTGACCAATAAATCATGATGCTGGCCTCACAGACAGATTTTAATGGATCGTTAACATGATCTGACTGTTTTCATGTATGTGTGTTGTGTGATTGTGTAAATTAGATTCTGCAAACATCTGGGAACTGGTACAGAGCAGAGCACAACGGAGCTATGGGCTTTGTCCCAAAAAACTATATCGACATTCACATCCCCAGGTAAAACCATGTTTTCATATGTTTTTTTTTTCCAAATTAACCTCCTTCTAGCTTCTGTATTTACGTATTTACACCTGTTAATAATTTCAAAGTACATTATGCAGCTGACTTACATTTACTTATTTTGCTTACTTACTTTGGCATGTGATCACTTTATCCTATATTGTTTCTTGCCTGCAAATTATGCATTTTTACCACCTCAGCTCCTTCAGCACCATCAGGTTTTGTGTCACTGCTTGAACTTTATGTTTCCTGCTCCCCATCTCCTACGTCTGTTCTCCCCTGTCTCCTTAATAACTCCAGCTGGTATCAGGAAAACACCAGTCGCACTGACGCCCAGGAGATACTGATGTCACAGCCCGTGGGGGCCTTTCTCATACGAAGCAGCCGAAAACCAGCTCCAGGCGACTTCTCCATCTCTGTCAGGTGCATTTAGCATGTTTGAGTTTGCAGGTTATCTTTACCCCACTAACTAAAAATCGTGTATTCAGACTGATTAATCTATGTGCCTAACAACTGCTAACAGCTAGACTATTAACATTTGCAATTCTGTGCCAACTCTACACGTTTGCTGTTCTTCCATTTCACAAACATTATATATATCTAACAGTGTGCAGTGTAGTTTAAAAGAGGCAAATGTTTCTTCAAATGGAGTCACACAGGGTCACTGTGAGGGGGAGCGTCGCCCACTGGTGGTGCCTTTCATGTAGGAATGTAGTGACTCAGCCTTTGTCTGGGGTTTCCACAGAGCTCCTATCTTTCCAGTTTTTGGAGAAATACCTCACATATTTAACATGCCTTCTCCCCTTTGCAAGACATGACATGTAGTCTTGTATTTAGGGTGAAGAAATTACAGTAGACATGAATGGCTCGCTTTTGTCTATAGTGGTTATCATGTTGGCTTCCAGTACAGCAATTTACACAGTGTGTGTGTGTGTGTTTATTTTTGTCCCGCATCTTTATTTTGCTTTGCATGTTCACTGCTCACCATTTAATTTTGTTCTTCTCGGAATTTTTTTTTTTGTCGGTGTTTCTCACCGTCACACAGTTGTGGGCAAGAGTAAGTATGAATATGTGCTAATTAAGAGTCAACCACTTCCTTCAGACGATTCACTTTCGTTCTTTCTCTAAAACTTACCTGCTTGCAGCAGTCTGATATTGATGAGCTAATCTTTTAAGGTCCAGACCGATACTACTAAAATGATGAATACCTGAGGCATTCAAATTTTATATTGAAACTATAGAGACTTTGTTATTGTGTTGTTTATTTTAACAAAACTTGTCTTTAAGGTCTTTTTTGTATGCTTGCCATAGGTTCATCAATGTTTTCTCTTTCACTGCACTGTGGAGTGCTGATGCAATATAGTAGCAGCATATATTTGTGTGTGTGTGTGTGTGTGTCCGTGCGTGTGTGTGGGCATGTGTCCGTGTGTGTGTGTGTCTGTGTGTGTGAGTGCGAGTGTGTCAGCGTGTGTGTGTGTGCATGCATGCATGTCTGTGCTCTAAATTGTTAATCAGACAACAGCGAACCCTCTGAGCAAATGATTGAATATTTAATTTTGAAATAAAAACTTTATGTAACTATTATAATTATAATTACAATTATAAAGATGTTTCATCTTTTAGATTTGCATACATTGTTTTATTCACCTCATCTACCTGTCTCCCTCTGTGTGGCTAGTTGCTGCAATGAGATAGTGGCTGTTTGTTTGAGGACAAAAGAAAAAAAATACTCTGGCCCAATGACAAAGTAGTAGTTAGGGTTAGGGTTAGGGTTAGGGACACTCAACAGCTGCTGGGTAAGTTTTAACTTGCTAATACCAGGCTGAAATTTTGCCTTCTGAATGGACAAAGTGTTGGAAACATTCAAAGTTTTTCACTTACACTGACACAATAGCACAGTTGCTGTACATTTCTTGGCTGCACTTCCATGATGTGAATCTCCCTTTCCACCACTTGCCAAAGATGCTCTGCTAGGTTGAACTCTGATGACTGTGGAGGCCATTTGAGTACAGTGAACGCACTGTCATGTTCAAGAAACCAGTGCGTGATGATTTCATGGCGTGTTATTCTGCTTGAAGCACTCGTCAGAAAATGGGTACACTATGGTCATAAAAGGATGGATATGGTCAGGAACAATACTCAGACAGGCTGCCTGGTGTGGTCTTCTGCTGCTGTAGCCCATATGTTTCATGGTTTAATGACTTCTGTGCTCAGAGACATTCTGGTCATAAGTGGTTATTTGAGTTACCGTTGCCTTCCTAATAGCTTGGAGCTCCACTCCACCCAGAGAACAGCAGCTCACTGGATTCTTTCTCTTTTTCAGAACATTTTCTGTAAATGCTAGAGATGCACACCAACGATCATGCCATGTTCAAAGTGACATAAATCCCATTTCTTCCCCATTCTGATCCTCAGAACAGCAGCAGGTTGTTTTAATCATGTCTAATTGCTTAAATACTTTCTGCTGCGGCACTGTGATTGACTGAAAAGATACTTGTACTAATGAGCAGATGAATAGGAGTACCTAATAAAATGGCTGGTGAGGGTATAACAGCACAATGTCTCACATTTTTTTAAGGATGGAACAAACATAAGTAGTCATTGTAGTCATCAATGAAGTCATTGTAGTACATGGAATGAAATACGTAAATGCAGATAAAAAGGATCCTACTTTTCATCTTATACCCTTTTAGACATCCAGCAGATGTTCAGCACTTCAGGGTGATGCGTGACAGCAGAGGGCAGTACTACCTGTGGTCAGAAAAGTTTCCCTCACTCAATCAGCTGGTGGAATACTATAAAAAAAAATCCATCTCCAAACAGAGTCTACTATTGCTCAAAGAGACGCAAAAAGAGGTAAGGGCTAAAGATTGAAACCTGCCTGGAAACGTACACAGTCATTGTGTCATTATTAGTGCTGTCACTATCTGGTGCTGTCAGTGGATTTAACAGGAGTCACAGAATGACAAGGTAGCCATAAGGGAAACGCTAACGTGACTTGTTTATGCCCCAACAGGAAAGGGGAGACTCAAATAAGCTTCTACCTCCTCATCCTATTTTTCCACGTTCTGACCGTGCGCCTTCTCCAGCACCACGACAGGTACACAACTCTGTGCGTAAGTCTGTGGTTACACTGATGACTGTGGACTTGCGATCTGTGAAATGTGTGTAAGATGCAGTGTCTCCCTGTCCATATAGACTGTGTGACTGTACAGTTTCAGTTTCAGGCGTGCATGCACAACTTTTAGTCAGAGTAGTTAAGTCTTTGACCTTTGATTTGCTGTACACTTTTATGTAAATGCCAACTTCTAAGGAGCCTAGAATAACAATTATAATAAGCCCCAGTGGGCATTTTTAAATTACATTTGGCTCTTCTTTGCCCAAATTCAGACAGGTCTGTCTCTTTAAATCTCTGCACATAGTAAATAAAACTTTGAAAATTGGGCTGAAAATTAGCCAGTGACAGTGAGCTGATAACATATAGAGTACTGATAAGTTTCTATCTTCCTCTGTTGTATCTAGCGCAAAACCTCCCACACAACGCAGGTCAGAGCCCTTTACGATTTCAAGGCAGAAGAGGCGGACGAGCTGGAGTTCAGTGCAGGGGATATCATTGAGGTTTTGGAGGTCTCTGACCAGACCTGGTGGCAAGGTCAGCTAAGGGGCAAAAAAGGCCTTTTCCCCTCCAACTACACCAAACCCATCTGAGAGGACGGCCCACAGGCAAACATCTGTAAAACTACTGCAACTTTTTTAGTCAAACATCTAATGCTGGTTTTGTTTGTGTTTTTGAGATTAAATTTCAAACTTAGAGCAACTCAAAACTGCTAGCAGGAAAAGGCTCACCAATACACCAAGCATGCGAGATTTTAATTTTCATCATGTCAAGGATAGCGTTCATGTTTGTCATTGACAAGACATAAAAAGCCCAAGTCAAGATAAAAACATGTTTTTTTCTGTTTTTTAATGAAAAAGTATTTCATGTATCGATCTGTCCTGCCCAGTGGTGATGTCTAATTCAGTGCTATTTGGAAAAGTATATAAGTTTCAATTGTAAGGTACCTAATGCTATTATTTCTGAGAGAAATCATCCATTTACAAATGCATTTTACGCATGATAAGTGTCACCGCATGAACGCTACTCTGTAAACTTTTTTTTGTCAGCCTTATGATTACGTTTGTTGTACTTTTTGATCACATCGTGGTGTTGGATTCCTAACAAGGCCCACGTTTTAGTACTGTAATTTATGAACTTTTGAAGTTGTTGCTGATTGCTCAGACTCCACACAACAAAAAGGTATTGTGCAGACATATTATAAGTAAACCATCCAGAGGGTTCAGTCATGTGTGTGTCCATGTCTGAAAAGTAATAAAAGCATTTTAGGACACTCTGAAGTCTAAAAGTAAAAGTTATTGTGTGTCATGTCCCATATACTAATAATAAAGCAGATCTATATTGCAGTATTTCAGTATTCGGTTGTGACCAGAGTATTTTAAGAACAACACAAATGTGTTTTAGACATTCTCAAAATAGACCCTAGAAGTTGTTTCACTTTATTTAGGGCATATGACACTGCTTATCTTGTTTGGCCCACATATAAAGTGCGTGTTTGTTCGGTTTATTACCTGGGCTGACCTTATCAAGGCTGCTAAGAAAGAAAAGAAAACTCCCAATAGCTTCAGAGTACGTGTTTCTATAGCTCTCGGGACAAACGTGTGCTGCATTCAATGTCTGTGTGTAATTTGGTCAATCTGACTGAAAGCAGAAATCTTTTCATTCTCATTTTTAAATTTAAAAATGTATATTATTAATCATATTCATTTCTAAGACTCTCTGGATGTGTTTTGGCATGATTTGGGCCTTCACAATGAAAATTCCAAAACGAAAGTTACACAAAGGTTTTCACAGACGTTAACGCCCATTGCAGTGCGTCGTCTTCATCATTCCAATGGCAAGTGAAGAGTCCAAAGTCTCGGCTCAATCTCGGTGAGAATTCCGGTCAGGTGAGAAAAGTTTCCCAGTTTTATTGTAGTCTACCTGTATGTAGGTGTCACTCAGCAAACCCTGCTCGGGGTTAAGAAAGCTTCTGACCTTTATTGGTGCTAACCGCGAAAGCCACCATGGCCGAATCCCAGCTCACGGTTATGGAGGACGGGCGCATAGGAGTCAAAGTCCCGGAGACCAAGCCGGAGTTTTACTATAGTGAAGAGCAGCGAACCGCTGTAGAACTGCTGCTGAAGGAGGGCGATGGCGCCTTCAAAACAAGACTTAAAGAGGACAATACGAAGGACTTTCTGTCTGCCAGGGAAGTCAAGCTATTAACGAACACTTTCAGACCGTACGACTCAGGGGATGACAGCAAGGCATCCACCTCCGGGTCGGAGCAGGGCGCCACCGGCACCGATGCGGATTCAGGGGTCCACTCCACCTACTGGCCCCAGATGTCGGACACAGAGGTGCCGCCGCTGGATATCGGGTGGCCCAGCGGGGCTTATTTCAAAGGGGTGACCCGGGTTTCCGTGCACACACACCCGCCCAAAGAGAACGGACCGCACATTAAGGAGGTGGTGCGACGGCTCATCCAAGAGGCTAGCAAGGTGAGGAGTGTGGGTCCGATTCAACCCGTTTAAAAGTTTATGGCTAATAACGGGCATCCTTATAAATTCATAACGATCATAGTCTTATGTCAGTCTATGATAGTACTTTAAATACAACCAGTAACATGGGCAATACTAAAAATGTGGAGTACATTTACGACAATTAATCACATTTCTGCTAATAGGTAGTTAGTCGGTAAAGATTAGTTGCCTGTTAGAAGACGAGTGTCCAATGCTGCAAGTTTTGGTATCGATCAGCCACAGGGCTGATAACAATACTTGAACATTGAACATGTAGCGAAGAGCAATGTAAAATTATGAGAGATGTCAGTTTTTTGGTTCTGTTTTAGATCTGGAAAAAGGAAAAAGAGGCAAGCAGGTTCAGAATGCAGAGCTCAAAAGGCTAGTTTGGTTATGGCTGTAGACATGATTTATTTTTTCTTTTAGTTCGTTTTTTCTTTTAAAAAGATAATTTGGCTTGCAAACTGTGATCATACGAAAATACCCAAATGAGACTGAGAATAGGTGGAGGGCGGGAATAGTGCAGGTGATTGTTTGCTGTGATTGGCAGTAGCTAATGCAAAATTGACATTAATAATACATACACAAACATAGGTGGGTAGTAACTGTGTAACAAATGGATCCAGGGTGCTCTAACAACCTCCAGCACTTGTGTATGTTTTTCATCAGATAGACTGCAGGAATTTGTTCTAGTTAAACAGGCTCTGTGTGGGAAACTTTAAAGCTTTTATTTAAAATGAGGGCTCAGAATCATGAAACTCAAGCCCGGTAAAGAAATGTGAAACCACTGTCCACGCTCTTTTTTTGTAGTGTGATAAAACTACAAGGCTGCTGCTCTTTGCAGTGTCCCGTAGATCTAGCTCCACAGGGGTCAGGGAGGGGGGAACACCAGTTTGAGTGATTAATAGCTCCTCACATAGCAACTAAAGGCTTGAAGTGGGTCTTTAAATGTGAGTTGGTGAAAGTCATGTTTACTCATAGGGTGCCGGATCTACGCTGAGTCATCTGTTCCGTGCTCAGTCTACAATGCAGTGACAGGCTTTGCTGTGCACTCGCTTCCTTAGTATTTCTCTTTAAAAGTGGGTCAGGGAGGGCTGCAGGAACATGTCACATAATCGTCCTGGGTTTTGTGACTTGTGCAACTTTTCTCAACTTTTCTTTGAAATTCCCGGTCTTTCCTTTTCACAACACCCCTTTCCTTCTTCCTGGGTACAGATCAGGTAGTGGAGGTAGTAAAAACAGGATCTCTGGCTCTTAACAGAATGACACACTACCTTGTTTCCTGGTTGCCCTACCTACTGTTCTTTCATTTGATAAAGTAAGACATTGTTTAGTAGTTCACTCCCTCTTTTCACAATTTGCCATACCGAGACCTTTGAGTGTTTTCCAAACTTGGCAGATCAAGAAGACAAACAGTTAAACAGTAGGTGCTTTAGGATTGGTGTACATGAGCAAAAAGTACATAAAAAAGACAAGCAAAAATAACACTCAAGATAACACATGTTGACCAATCAGTTCTTCAGATACTAACTTGTTTGCATGCGAACAGTGATTTCGTTTTTGGTTTTTATTTGTTTTAGTGATTCTTTCATTTTTCTTTCTGATGGGATGGTGATGATCTAGCTTTGATTCCTAACTGTCCTCAAGTCTCAGCCTGTATCTCTGCTGTTGAGCTTTCAGGTTGGCTCAGCATTTTTCTGTAGTGAGACCATGAGTGGAAACACCAGGCCTTTTCTGTCTAACAGAGGAACATTTGTTGCAGATTTAAAGATACATTTTTTCCATGACTTTGCTTTTCAAGGACGACGAAACAGTCAAATAATAAACATTTCCATACTCTCCACCTCTGCCTTGCACGTAACATGTCCATTCATGTTTGAAAGGACCGTGTCTTGTTTTTTGCCCTCCCTTGGGCTGTGTGGACTTTACATAAAACTTGTGGTTTAGTATGGTGCCTTTATGTGTTTTTCTCATAAATCTGACTCAACAGTGATTATGTTGTACTGATTTATTCAGAGGCAGAATCAGAATTGGCTTTAATGGCCAAGTTTGTGTACACATGCAAGAAATTAGGCTCCACTTTTTTTCTTGCTCTCAGTGTAAACAGAACAGGCAGGACAGACAACAGCAACGTGACACAGGCATATTCATATATGCTGAATAAATTATGGAATAACGGCTATTGTATAATATACACGCAGATGTCTGGTTGCTTTGGTATACAGTGTTCTGTAGCACCTACAAGGAGGCAAGAGTTGGAACAGGTTGTGTACAGGGTGTGATGGGTCTGCAACCGAGGATTTGCAGGATCTAGTGTAGACCTATATTGATGGTATTGTCCACTGACCTGTTTGACTGGAAAGCAAACTGCAGAAGGTCGATTCCACTAGTTGACCTTCTGCAGATTGTGATGTCCTGCAGGTATGTTAACACCAGGGTGACAGCTCTACAGCATTTAACCAAGTTATAGGGGGTTTCTTGGAGACAGCGATGACTGGAGTGCTTGAAACAGCAGGGGACTGCATATAGCTCCAGGGATCTGTTTAAGGTCAGTGTAAAGATGGGGGCTAGCTGGTCAGTGCAGACTTTGAGGCCAGAGGGAGACGCACAGTTTAGGGCTGGTGCCCTTCTGGTCTCATGAGTTGGTCAGGTGTTAGAAAGGATGGGTGAGGGGCTGGCACGGGGGAGTTGGTTGTGTGATGTGGCGGGGGAGGGTGAAGGGTGTAAAGGCAGGATTGTTACACCTGAATAAACACATGCAGGTCCCCTGTCATCTGTAGTTGGTGGTATCCTGGAGACCCACACCGACACAAGGTCATTGGCTGAAACCTGTGTTTGTTTTTTCTGTATATCATGTTCACGTCGATATAAATGTGAAATGTACATGGTGTAATTATTTAGCCTTTTTTTCAATGAACTGTTAGTAGTTGGGGTTTTTTTCTATTGTGGCACTCTGTCTTCCTTCTTTGTGTTTGAGTGTGTGCATTTTTCCTCCATTGAATTAAAATATGTTTAATGGGACAGTAAAATAATAATGTATTCACTTTTCAGATGTTACTGATACTTACTCAATGTCATTTTTTTATTTTGCTCACTTCATCCAAATAGTGCACAGATGACAAAATCAGCTTCACAAATGTTCTTTACCAAAACAAGTTTTATCTGATAAGGGGAATATCATTTTCTGTTTTAATTATGGCCTAACAAGAAAATATGTTTTGAAAGGAAATTGTCCTTTTGATAACTGAGATCAAAGGTAAAACTTTATTGCAATCCTAAAATTAGTTTTAAAGTGTTTCGACACACTTCTGCAAACCATGATATGTACAACAATCACAATGTGTAATACGTCAAGTACTTTTATTGTGAAAAGAACTAACACAAACAAGAGGAAACCAGCAAATCTAAGGACCCCAAAGCGCTTTACACTACATTCAGTCATTCACACATTCACACACTGGTGGTGGCAAGCTACATTGTAGCCACAGCTGCCCTATTAGGGAAACTACCATCGAGAACATCTCTAAAAAAACCCATTTTTGCTAGAAAATTATGAGTGTTGTGTCATGTGTCCCTTTTTTCTGTTTGTTCTGTCTCTGTGTGACAGCAACACTGTTCAAGTCTGCTTGCTACTAACCAGTTACCCACAACCCTCCACCATCTTCAGCTGGAGTTTTTGTTAATCCACAATATGAGAAACTCGGTTTAGAGACGACTGGTCCTTGTATTCTTTGTTGTTAAAGAGTATATGGGGAGAGCATGATTTATTAATGTACTTAAGAAGGTTTACACGCTCCTCCTTTCACAAGCACAGAAAAGTCAGGGTTGGATAAACACTGAGCACTCTGAAGCCGGAGCTCACAGTGATTATACTTGCACATACACAGACTTCAGTATTTTGGCTATGTTTTACATAAAAAGACACGCTTTAATGATTGCTATGCAGATGTTAGGTGGCCTTTTGGTAACACCTTATGCATCATAGGATGCATCATAGGAATTTAGCCTAAGGAAGACATTTCCAAATTGTGTTGAGCACAAAGCAATTAATTGTCTTAAGTTTCTTTTTCACTTTAATTCCTAGCTCAGCCTTAAGAATAGGAATATATCTGTAAGCACAATGTCAGATTAAGTCACTGTGTCAACAGTTCATGCTGTGACCTGTCAGAGAAGATAATGCCCTCTGCACAGTATGCTAACTAGTTACAGCTTGTCGCCTAAACTATGTGGGCTGTATGTAAATATTAAGCTGCCAAGAATTTCACTGTCACACCCGCAACAACAACAACAACAATAAACACACAGTTAGTCCTGTCTTCATAGTCCTTTGCAGGCAACGTAAACCAAAAGCTGTCTATATCATGTCAAATGAATCAGTTGAAACAATTGCAAGGCAGTAGTAACCCCAATTCCCTCAGTGTAAAATGTTAATGGACACAATAATGAACATGGCACATAACAACAACATGTGACCATTGAATGTTGCTTGAAAACCATTAGAGAAACATAGAAACATTGTGCTATTAATAAATCCACTGGTCAGCTTGTTTTGTCTCTAAAACTATTTCCAGTTGAGGCGCACTCTGTCGCTGTGGGCAAACATGACAGGACGCGTTGAAGAACAAGACTTTTGTGATTCTGTACTAGTCACAAGGTGGTTTAGAGGATAGGTGTTCTGCCAGGATGTACCTCCTCGACTAATTCCAGCGTACTCACAGAACAGAAAGAGCTTTATGGGTCAGTGACAGACCTAAATTCCCCAGATGATCTTATTTTGTTGTTACAAGATTTTATCTGTGTGATCTGTCAGTCTGAGTGGAACACAGCCGGAGGATAACACAGTGGCTTCCCCCACTCTTATTGGACTAGCAGCTAAGACTCTTTCATAAGGCCCAGCAGTGCCTTCAAGGTTGGTGTATTAACAGGTGGCAAAGTGCTTCAGCTAGACAGATTAGCTTCACCTCATGGTTCCTTTGTTAGGTTTGTTGGAGTCATTCTGCCCTCAAGCAATGTACTGATTTTTGTCCCATCCTCCTATAGAGAGGTAACATGGAGGAGTAGCTGACAGTGAACTTAAGCTGAGATTCAGGTTTCTCAAATGTTCTCTCTCTGTGTTGCTGACTTGTTGGTGCACCTTTGTTTCTGCCAAGGGGTTATTAATTTAAAGTGCTGTAAGGGGTTAAAAGAATGTGTGGCAGTCTATAACACAAAGAGACAGACAAATGTTCATGCTCACATTCACTCCTATAGCCAATTTAGAATCATCAGTTATCCTGACATACTTTGGAGAGTGCTCCACACAGTCACGGGGAGAACCACCAATCTCCGCACTGAAATGCCCCAGCCGGCCGGCCTTGGAATTGAACTCAGGCCCTTCGGGTGCTGGATATAAAATACTAATGCTTATTTCTCCTGCAGGTGATCGCCATAGTAATGGACATCCTCACAGACATCCACATCCTACAGGACCTGATGGATGCAGCGTCACGTCGCATGGTGCCTGTTTACATTTTATTGGATGAGCAAGGTGTGCCGCACTTCTTGGACATGTGCTCCAGGCTGCAGATTGGCTCACAACACCTTCGGGTAAGACTATACTTTTAGACAGTATATCAGCGACGCAGAGAAAAATAATAACCTCATAATCTGAGCTTATTTTAAAGAGTTGCGTCTTCTAGTGTAGGTTCAGTTATTCAGAGGGTCATGGATTGTTTTATTGGTTTGTTTGTAACAGCACTATTGTTGCTTTTTTGCTTGTTTTTTTTCTGGATAAATTAACTCAATAATTTGGTTCAACTCAATAATTCATGTCACAACCAATAACCGTTGTCAAATATTGCCTAAACTGGAAGGGCAGTCTTGTAATCCCACTTTACTTTGATATAAATGATGGCGACATCACAGAAAAATCACATTTCATCACTGATGCAGAATTTCAAAGTGCATCAGTGCCGTCATTAAATAGTTAACTTTGTGAACGCAGGTACAAAATAACACACATCCTAGTAATGAAATGACCAAATCTGACATGCTATTTTCACCACTGCATTAAAGCAGTTATACATAGAAGTGTCCCATCAGTTAAATTATTAATTGTTTCCACTTATGTCTTGAACTCACACAAAATCAGTAACAGAATTGGAAAGGACACCTATTATAGAGCAATCAAGTGTATCCTTCTCCTCCATATTTAGCTGTAGGAGATTTTGGGGTTCAGGTGTAGCCAGGAGTTATCTCGAGAATGCACTTCGTTCAAGACGTAACTGGTTTAATGTGCTGATCAATAATTACTGTGTGATTATAAATGGAGATAAAATTTAAAAAGCTAACAAAAGGCTAAATCGTCACTCCCCAGTGGTTTTAAAATTAACTTTCAGCTGATGTGGCTCAATTGTCCTCTTCAGCTGATTGTATATCTGGATGTGGCCCAAGACCATCAAACTTGATTGGTCAAAAGTAGTAAAACGACTTGCTTAAAGATTGGACGATTGAATCAGTTGCTAGGATTGCTGAGCCACATATTTCGTAGGCAGCCAGTAGGAGGTTTGGGTGGACTGATTTTTAAGAGTATGGCTGTAAAAATCAAACTATGTGCTGCTTCCATCAAAAAGATTGTTAAACTGCCTGCGTCGTGACATTGTTGGTTATGTTCTCATCCTCATCCTGACCCTGTGTCGTTGCAGAACATCAGAGCCAGAACGCTTCAGGGAACTGGTTTCAATTTGTCGTTTGGCAGGCTGCCTGGTTCACTCTGTAATAAATACATGCTGGTAGATGGGGACAAAGTTGTGTTCGGTTCCTACAGGTGAGGAGGAAATATTGTGCAAAATGTTCCATTAAACGTAATAATCTGAGTTTAAGTAATTTTATCTGCCGCTGTGTATAAGATTAGAGACTGATAACTTGGATTCCTTTTGTCAAATGATGTGAGTGAAAGACTCAGACTGTCTCTGAATACTTTCATCATTCTTGGATATAATTCTTCACTTTCTCTTTTAAGAGAGCAATAATCACTCTGATGCCATTTGTGTTCATTCTATTTTAAGACTTATTGTAAAGACATGCTTGTGTCTCTTAATTGGCAGTTGTAGCAGCATTCTTGTAACCATGCACGCTTAACATTTTAGTGGCTTCATTGTGCCATGACGTGCACTGAGTCATTTCGTACTGCATTAAAGTCTAACAAAGCACCAAGTGTAGCGCGATCTGGTCAGAAAAGACATGCAGCTAGATAAGTGGATAAGCACCTGCTTATCCACTTATCTGAATACGGTTGATTTACTTTTGATTGTGTATACACACACACACACACACACACACGCACACCCACCTATCTATCTATCTATCTATCTATCTATCTATCTATCTATCTATCTATCTATCTATCTATCTATCTATCTATCTATCTATCTATCCATCCATCCATCCATCCATCCATCCATCCATCCACACATTCAGCCACTCAACCTAACCTGTCTGTCTGATTCATGCCTCTGTAGATTATCTGCTGTGTCTGACTGCAAAATGTAGCTTTCGTTTTATGACAGCCTCCATCAATAGCTCTGCTAAATTCTGTGTAGGATTGAGACATTAATTATTCTGTTTGTGTTTGGACTTTTGTAGATGATCTCTATAGGCAGCTTGTTATGCTAGCATGGGTGACCTCATTTTAGGGGAGTACATTTAGCGGTTGTTTAAATATTTTAGCCTGGACTAAAAAGGTCATCAACTAACTTTGTTCTGGTAGCATGCTAATGATACTGCTAATGCTTTTAATCAGAAAAATGATGATCAAAGCCATAGGAATGTGGTTGTAGTCTGTTTGATACCTGCTTACTGTGCTAGAGACACAAAGATTTTCCATAGAGAATATTCTCGTTCCTAACTGTTAATGCTGTGTCCTCCCAGCTTCTCCTGGTGCACGTCTCGCATGGACCGAAACATGATCACTGTGATGACGGGACAGCCAGTCGACTTCTTTGACCGGGACTTCCGTGAGCTGTATGCCATTTCTGAGAAAATGAACCTCTACAAAGAGTTTCACGTCAGCCCTCCTGCTGCCCAGGTGGCCTCCACAGTTCGCTCTAAACCGAGTACCAAACGCCCGCCATTAGCAGCAACCACATCCCGCTTCCAGGTTAGCTTAGGGGATTCACGGAATATTGAAATCCAGGTCCCAGCACACAAATATTACAACCCTAAATACGCACTAGCGTTTGGGGATACTCCCCGTCCAACAGGATCTCTGCGCGAACCCAAGAGGGGTTCAGGTCTGGCTGAGGTTCCCGAGGAGGCAGATTCGGGGAGCCCACGGTTGGCCAGCAGCGAGAAGATGGATCGATTGAGTCCGCTGCCGGCAGAATCCTCAGGCGAAAGCTTCAAGAGGACAAATGGAGTCAAGTCAGACATAAAAAGCCGTCCCACACTAAGGCAGAGACTTTTTAAGAGGAAATCTCAGAATAAACTTCCTGTTAACACAGAACCTGTACCCCCAGAAACTAAACAGGATGAGGAGAATCAGGATAACTGCGAAGCGGTTGTGTTATCTCCATCCAAAGTTAGTAAGAAGCCGTCTAGACTGGGACGGAAGTCAATGTCTCAGCAAACTGTCAATGCCTCACATGACAATATGAGTAAGTCACGAATATTAGCTTGTATATGAAGATTTAATCTGCAATGAACACATTTTAATCCAATGAATTATAACCTGTAATCTAACCTGAGTGATGTGAAGAGGTCTGAGGGTAATGTAATCATTTCTCTATTTTCTTTTTCCTGACAGGTTTAAAAAGTCAACATAAAGGAAGGTGTAAAGTGAGCTGAAGCTGCCCATCTCCACAGAAGACAAAATGACTTTAGTCACATGAACATTAACATCACGTTTGATTGTGCTGAAGAATTTTACCCAGCGTCTCACAGAGAGACAAGATAAAATCATTTTGTTGTTTGGTGCCAAATGTACAATAAATGCGTTTTAAGTTTTATATGATATGTTAGAATGCAGATTGGGTTAATAAGAGATTTTGTTATGAGCACTTTCATCGTGTTTTGCTTTGAACACTGTTAGCTTCCAGGTTCTTCTCTTCTGGACACTGAATGTACAGTTTTAAGGTGGATCAACATGAGAAGCCTGTCTGTCAAAGAGTGAAAGAAATCATCTAAGTTGTCAAAAGGTGTCTTTACATTCCAAATGTAACACAGCGGGAAATTTAAATCCCACCAGATGTGGGGCTATTTGTCACTCTTAACCACACACATTCACCTCAGCCATGCACTACGAAGCGAGTTTAACCCATTTAGCATAACCATGGTGTCTTTCTATTACATCCACTTACCCTTAACTCGGTAACCAAGATATGCTTTCACATGAACGTTTGCATGAAGGTGTTGGTGCTGACAGCATCTCACCAATCAGATGGATAAGTAATGGCAACACAGTTAAGCACATGATAGAGGCTCAAAGCAGCACATGATCACACAGCTGCTACAGAAAAAGCAGCAGTGTGATCATGTGTTAAATGAAAAGCTGTGTGCAGTAGTTCAGTATTAAATGTTCTGTATGGACGTTTGTGTGCTTGAAATAGTTCAGTGTGAGTGGAAGAGAGCTGCAGTATTAATAAAGTTTAGCCTGTTTGAATCAAGGAAGGAAAACTGGCACCAGTGTGAGTTAACATACAAGTATCACAGCTCTCATTAGGTTAGTCTGAATAAATAAATATAAAATCAGAAGTCAAACTCAGACTTTGACTACATGCAGCGTCCACTACAAATAGGTAGCACAGTAAAATAGTTGTGAAAATGTTTGCAGCCAACAAAAAACAATCAAAAACCCCCCAAGGAATAAAGTTTTGTTTAATAATCTATATTTCTTACTGCGTTTTGGGGAAACTGAAAAACTTCAGACACTCCTACAGTCCATGCACAGACGCTCCACAGGATCTTCCAGGAATGGATATGGAATAAATTGGTCAGAAAGCGGTGATTTCATAGCTGTAATAAGCTCTAATCCAGCTGCAAGTTAGGTTAGGTTACTATGGCAGTATACCCCAATAAGAAGAGAAGCGTTTTCATAGTACAGAAAACCCAGGATGGACACTGAACCTATGAAATCCTGCTTCACAATGCAGGCCACAGTTCAGATTGATAGCCACTCATGGTCAGCCCAAAGCAGGATATTATTAGACAGTGAATGAGTTTAGGCCCGGATTACAGTTTAAATATTATACTACTTACATACTTTTTGTTTCATGTTGCAACTCTATAATAAATATTGCCTTTTATTCAGTTCTAGAAGTGAGGAAATTGTCATGTAAAAACAAATTGCAGCAATACAGAAAAAGCATAAAAATGTTCATAAGTAAAAGTCTCTGAACAGGCATAAATTTGAGTGCAGCTCCCTCTAGTGGTGATGCGCAGGTACTAGTCTATAATTTGTCCTTTCAAAGTCTCAACCGTGAAATAATTGCCAGAAAATTGTTTTTTATTTTTTTGCAAATGCAGAAAAATGAGTGTTTATTGAGCCTTTTGAAAAAAATAAAAACATTTCCATACAATATTTTTGCTACATCTGCAATTTATTTTTAATTTTGTATACATATATCCATATACATCCATAAATTATTGCTGTTGTTGCAGTTTATGACTTATAAATGATGCAGAAGTTTGAAAAACTCACAAAAAGTCATCTACAAAATATGATACACTTGCTACAGGGTTAGGATGAGGGGGCAAAAACTAGTGACTGTATTACATAAACCGTCCGCTGGGTGCCGCCATTGCTTCTCCATCTGGTTCTCTTATCGGTTAGCGTTTGCTAACCACTCGGAAAGAAAAAGAGGAACCACAGGCCTGATGACAAACTCGGGGCTGAGTTGAGGGTAGTGTGAGGGAGGTTAGGCTCGGGCTGGGGGTGGGAGGGTTGATGGTTGGTGTAACACTAAAAGCAGTAAAACAGGAAGTCAAGGCTGCAGCAGGAAGAGGTGTTCTCACACACTTTGTGTTGTCAGTGCACAAGGATGAAAATACATTGTTTCCTGTCACTTGCATATTCATGCTTCCTTTAAAGCCCTTCGTGTTTATTTGTTTTCAACAGACATTTAGACACTTCAGCCCATTCAGGTGTGCAGATTTAGAGTACTGCTTTTGTGCATTTTGCCTTGAGCACGAGGCTGATGTTCATAGTTTGATGTAAACATAAATGTTTGATTTACTCAATACAAAGATTGAAGGGATGCACGTTATCATAACCATAACAACAAGTGTAAATATGACGTTCTGTATATTCATCATGTTATCTCAATTACTGATGAAGCAGTAACCATTAATTGTTGAGTTTTCTGCTATCACTAATGATCAGAATTAAAGACAAACTAATGATCATAATCACACCAAAATTCATTCCTGTCATTACTTAGCCTGCACTGTGAACCGAAGCCTTGGCTATGAAGTCAAAATGCACCTGTTGGTTTAAGTATATGAGTACAACACAAATAATATTATGTTGTAAACATAATAAACATTTCCACATTCTATAGGTATAATCTATATGTTAGCTTTTAATGACAAGTTTTAAGTACTAATCTGAATTGTTTCCAGTTTTACTCTGGACTATGATGCTCACAGACGATGCTGTGATCTGAAAGTGAGCGTAGGGAGCAGGTGGAATGGTAAATTTTTATATAACACCTTAATACTCAAAGCACTTTATACAACATGCCTTATTCACCCACTTTTTCATATGCTTAAGTTCTGGCTGTCTAACATTCATGCATATTCATACTCTGATGAATGCATCAGAGAGCAACTTTCAGTATCTTGCACAAGGATGCTTTGACATGCATACTGGAGCAGCCAGGGGTACTATTAGCAGATGACCTGCTTTACTTCCTGAGCTACAGCCACCTCAGAGCGAACCTGGTTGTATGCTGTGCAGAAAAAAGAAATGAAAGTCAGCAGACGTGAGACAGAATATGTGTGTGTGAGAAGACCTGGTGTAACAGTGAAGCTGCAAGGAGAAGCTGTAATGAAGATAACAGGTTTAAACGCATTGGGTTGACCATTCAAATCAATGGACAGTGCCCAAGATAGGTGAAGAAGAGCGTGTAGGCAGGGTGGAATGGGTGGAGACAAGTGTCAGGGGTCATTTATGAAAGAAATATAGCAGCAAGGATGAGTCAGTCACTCTGAAGCCAAGCTGGAGGTGGAAGAAATGAAGCTGTAAAAGAGCTTCGCTGGGAGTGACCAGGATGGACTAGATTAGAAATGAGCACATCAGAGGGACAGCTCATCTTGAGCAGTTTGGAGACAAAGTTAGAGGCATGGCTGAGAGGGAAAAAGTCTAAACAATTGATAGAATAGCTGCATGTTACAGGAGAGTCATTTACAAGTTTTATGGTTGTGAATTATCAAGCTTGTTCCTCATGATTTTTTTTTTTAAATCTGGGCCATGAAAAAGGATGGTTTTGACAAAATTCTCACACACACAAGCCTGCCACATCAAACCACAGAGGTGGTTTTAGGTGCTTCACCCAAGGATGTAAACCAAACATATCAGCATACAAAATAAATATGAGGAAGTAAGGTGTGGCTGAATGGTTTCAGTGCGTATTCAACCGAAAACACAGCTGTCAAGATCAAAGCATGAAAACAAAATCCTCCTTTTTAATACAAACGCATCGATAAACACTTTTTTTTTATTAAATAATCATTTCGTGAGAGCATAAAAAATAAAGTACTTACAGTGATCAAACATATGCAGTATACAGACTGACACAAAACACAATGAATGGTTAAATGATTTCAATTTACACAGTAAATTTGTTACAAAGCGGATATAAAATGCATGTTCCTATTGCACTGTCCTTTCAATTTACATGACAAAAACATATTAACATGCATTTGATGTGACTGTATAAGATCCAAACAACTGAAAAACATATTTACATACGTGAAAATGATTCTGTACAAACTAGACACTTCAACAGGTCACTGAGATAACACCATACCCACCAATGGATTTGCAGTAAAACTTAAAGCTGTCCACCAGACAGAAATAAAATCACCCTATAAATGTCCGCTTCTGAGCACTATGAGAACTGAGTAAGACGCTGTGCCCTACGCGCGCCTTTTAATAGCATTCAAGGAACCGCTGAGACATCACATGTTTAATTTTTCTTCCTTAGCTGAGATACTTGGTTAGGTGAAAATCAAACCAAAAGAATCATCTTCTCACTGCAGAGAGGAAAACAAGTGCAGTAAACAGACACACTGTCAAACGTGTTAACCTAAACCGAGATATCTCCTCGTGTGGGCCCAGAGAATTTGTTGCCAAGCGCTCCTTTGCCCGCCGTGCTGATGCCATGAACAACACAAATGAGTCATTTTTTCACCCCTGACACTGTGTTTCTCAGTCTATGAAAGGAGAAGTGGAAAGGGAAGTCTCTTTTTTAGTCTAAACCACCACCGTCAGTGTGTTTCTGAAGCCTCCATTGCCCTTTTGTTGCAGGGTGGTTAAAATGATTTTCAAAAGAAATTACAATCCACAGTGCACGGTGGAGTGAGCTGAACATTCACGAGGTCGGATCCTGCTCTCCTGAGTCCTGGGGAGTTTGGTGTATCACCTTTTTCTTACGGACTGAGACCAAGTCGTAGAACGGATCCTTGGTGATACTTGCCCTATTTGAAGATAGAAAAAAGGCTGACATTAGCTTATAGGAGGTTAACAAAAGCTCATATAACAATATACAGTTAAATAACAATACATAACTATGTATTGCTCTTGGCTTATTGAAGAACATATTTTCCATAGGCATTCGGATTAATCCTGGTATAGGCAGAAGTTTATTGTTTCATTGGTTTAAAGCAGTGTCCTCAGTGCTAATGCTGCTGTTCCAAAATGCACCAGGGTGCTGATTTCAAACTAAAGCTACATGAGTCAGACATAAAACGCTGGCACTGGTAAACAAAGACATGCAACTTCCATTAG